CTGTCTATATTAGTTATCAAGGGGAAGAGCATCTGCAATATTGATTGGGAAAGACATATCAGGGGTGTGGAAAGTAAGATGAGGATGACAAGGAAGCTCCTCTCCGGGATGTTTTCCAGAAGGTCAATATTGCAAATTTAATGAAACTAAGTCTGGGGAATTCTGGGAAAATATGGAAAGCACAGCCAGAGCTACTTCAATAGGAAACCAAAGAATCAACCATTGGATACTGTATACTACTAATTTTTAGAAAAGCATTATCAGCCTACAGTTTACAAAGTAGAGAAGTAGAGGGGCCATCTGCAGAGGGAGAAAGTGCACCAACAAAGAGATACAGATCATCACTCTTGAAAGTGGGCCAACAGATGCAGAAGTTCCAGGGTTGAGGACTACAGTCAGGATGCTAAATATCCACCCCATAAGTCAAAGAGTCATATCCCACAGTGTCCTAATCCAAACACAAATGAGATTTTACATGGTTCATTGAAATGTAATCATCCAAGCCTGTTTTATTAGTGATCTCAAAATTATGTATATCTTTATAAAGACATCTCAAAATTGAAAATGTATATGTGTGTGTGTGTAAAGTGATATACATATATATAGTGATATATATTTATCACTACAATGCAATTTTAATAATTGGGCTCTTATTAGTTCCCTCACATTAAATTATCTAAGACACTTAAGGTCATGCTCAACCTCCTTAGCGATCAGGGAAATGCAAATCAAAACAACTTTGAGATACCATCTTACACCTGTCAGAATAGCTAAAATAAAAAACACCAATGATAGCCTATGCTGGAGAGGATGTGGAGTAAGGGGAACACTCATCCATTGCTGGAGGGAATAGAAACTTGTACAACCACTTTGGAAATCAGTGTGGCGGTTTCTCAGGAAATTGGGAATCAACCTATCTCAGGATCCAGCAATACCACTCTTGGGGAATATACCCAAGAGATACCCAATCATACTATGAAAGAATTTGTTCAACTATGTTCATAATAGCATTATTTGTAATAGCCAGAACCTGGAAACAACCTAGATGCCCCTCATCTTTATCAAAAGAATGGATAAAGAAAGTGTGGAATATATACACATTAAAGTACTACTCAGTGGTAAAAAACAATGACATCTTGAATTTTGCATGCAAATGGATGGAAATAGAAAACACTTTCCTGAGTGAGATAACCCAGACCCAAAAAGATGAATATGGTATGTACTCACTCATTAATGGACTCTAGCAGTAAACAAAGGACATTGAGCCTATAGTTCATAAGCCCAGAGAAGCCAAATAACAAGGTGAACCCAAAGAAAAACATATATTGATCCTTCTGGAAATTGGAAGAAAACAAGATTGCTGGGCAAAAGTTGGGAGGGTGGGGTGGGAATGGGGATGGGGAAAGGGAAGAGGGAGAAGGGAAAGACTGGGGAGAGCTTGGGGGAGTAGGAGGGGAATGGGAGGAAGGAAGGAAGTAAAATTTTTGAATGGAAAAAAATACATCTTATTTGAAAAGCCCTTTGCATTTATTTCAAGTTTTGCTTTCTATTAATCAATCACACTTTGTGTTTATTTAGAATAATCTTACTGTTCTTACTTATCTTTACTAAATTTCTAAGACTTTAAAAAGCTAAGATCTAAAACCAGAATAAACCAACATTTACTTTAGAAGTCATCTTCAGAATTATGCATGCAAATTTCCACTAGTACCATACTCCAGCTCGCATCATTAAAAGAATCTAATGGAATATGAATGTTCTAACTTTCTGTTACTGTTACAAGATGATTTTGAATATTAATGTAAAGGAGGAGAGAGATATTTGAATCCTAATTTCAGCCTTTTGCCATTTGGCTGCCATGTTTCTGGGCTGAACATCACATAAGAAGCATGTGGTGAAGCAGACCCATCACCTCATGGTAGCTAGGAATCAGAAGAAAGAGAAGGAAGGATGAGGTAAAAATGTACCTTCAAAGGAACACCCTCCTCCTAACTCACTCACTTCTTCCACAGAGGTCTCATTTCCTACTTTTCATGTTCCCCCAATATGCATTATTCTATGAATAAATACATACATTAACATCCATGAGGTTAAAACTTCATGGTTTGGAAGCCCTACCTACATGACTGCTTGGGAGACCAAGCTTTCAACATATGAGGTTTTGGGAATATTTCAGATTCAAACCACCCAACGCAGGTTAGAAGGGCTCATAGACAATTTGTGTACACATAGTAGCAAATCTATAGAGAAGGACACAAGATTCTCTCTAGAGATGAGCCCCCCTAAGAAAATCATACATCTGCTTGCGAATTCTGTAAGGTCCTACTCAAACTACATACTTCAAAACAAAGCAAATAAAGCACAGCTTGAATTTATCCTGATCTGCTCTTCAGGACCGAAAGTATATACCCTTTTGTATGCTCTCAGTCTCGTATAGTCGTCACTCAATATCCAAACGGATTGGCCAATTTGAGTATGTGTCCTGCGCTCGGCCTCGCCTGCAAGAACCACGCGGGACACAGGATTCTTCTGCAGAAAGGCTTTAATCCTCTTGGGAGCTAGAGCATAAGCCACATGGCGGAGACCCAGATATGATGGAACCCATCCCTTATATAGGAAACAGACCCTGCTTCAGACGTGTCACTCTTGGATTGGTCCGCTGCTCCCAGTCCCAGGTGATGCCTCGGGAGTAGGCGGGGACACAGAAGTGGAAAGTTACCAACACGTGTGCGTTCACCTGGTGGTGAAGCCGGATGTCAGCGCCATCTTGATGATGGAGAATGTGGCTGCGGCCTTCTACAAGTATGAGAGTATGATCTCTCATACTCAAATCCATACCAATATGATCAACTCTCTAATAAAAACTGTATATGTTCATATAACCTTACACAACCACCTACCTCCTGTACAATCTCTAGGTACAGTACAATCCTAATAAAGTGTACATACCATGTAAATGACTATTATCCTGTATTGTTGAGGGCATAGTCACCAGAAAATAAAATTTATATGTGTTCAGTATATGTATAGCTTTACCCTAATGCTTTTATTTGCAGTTGATTCCATGGATGTGAAAAAAATGTACAGAGAATTGACTGTAATTATTTTATTCATTTTAGCCAAGTGTTTGCATAAATGGCTCCATAACCTTAGCCTTGGGATCTTGTTTAACTCTTCTTTTAGGTCTCTGGACTTGATCATGCAACTTGTTTTCATCAGTAGAAGGATAAAGCACATAACCAGAAAATCTTTTGTACAATTTGGTTTCTTCTCACCCTTGTTTCTCCCAAGGCCACAATAGCATAACATCAGGTAAGGTCATCAGCTACCAGATTGCCAACACCATTCACAGGAGTGAGTCAACATGTACACATGTCTTAAGAAGGTTGTGTAGCTTTCATGTTTCTACATGTGCCATCTTTTAATGTTTGTTTATATTTACTTAGCAAGGATAGAAAACAAGGGGACAACCCAGGTTCTGAATTTCACCTCTGGGGACTCTGTATATAAGTAGAAAAGTACTCAAGACTGATACCCAGTATGTGTGTTTATATATGTAAATATGGTTCAGAACTCTGCACTGCATTGCATATGACCATGTTATGTGATATAAATAATGCCATGTGATAAGACAAACACTTGTCTATATTCAAAGAACAGGTATTCATTCATATGTATTACTGGGATAAAAAATAAAATCTGTAAATGCAAAAAAATCACATCAAGATCAATATTAGCAAAGCAGCCTCACCAGCCCATAACTGGCCCAGATCAAGGAAGAAACCACAAGGGGAAGAGTTGAGTTCAGCTCTGATCAACTGAAACCACAAACTCTAGAACTAAGTCAATGTTGATATCCACTGGGCCTCTGTAATTATTGTTACCACTTTATGTGAGAACAGCTGACTGATAGGCATGCAAGTTTCCGGGGTCTCTGCACCCAAACTTTCCCGTTTACTCTTGCTCCTACCACACTCAGTGGATTGGTTTAAATATAATGAGGTATTTGTAAAAGGTTTGCTAATCCAAGGACTGTCCCAATTTCACCCCTGTGGGTTGCTGGCATCCCATAAAACATTCCTCACTATCTGACTTCAAGAGGTCTTCACTTGAAATTGACATAGTACTTATCAATTTACCAGCCACTTATGATATTTTTACTAAAACATGATTTCAAGATTTATAACAGTATTTTCAATTTAACAAAGAGATTTAATACAGGATTCTGCCATCAAGTTCTCAGCAGTTAGCAATGTGTTACAGGAAAAAAAAGGAGATGAAAATTTAGGTTATTCTAAAATTTAGCAACAGAGAATCACAAATTTATCTATTACTAATCTTTATAAAAAATAGTTGAAATCCTCAGAAAATACATGATAACTCAATGTAAGATGAACATCAAGTAGCATTATAAATAGTATGAAAAGAATCACATTTTCAAAGATTCAGACCACACAATTACATTTTTGAGCTGCACATTATGTACTTAAGGCTTCAAAATGAATGCAACTGCAATTTATTGTCAGATTTGTATTATGTGTGTCTCCAGTGAAAATTGGATAATATCTCAGAAAATTGAATAAGAATTTAAGGGGAAAAACATCCCAAGTAAGTCCCATAATGATAGGAATGATTCAGCCTCAAACAAGATTCTCAACCATCTCCTTAGAAGAAATAAAGTCTTCTTAGTGCCTCAGCCTTAACACCAACTCAGGCAAGAGCCAAAGGGGAAACAGCCGATACAGGAAGAAAGATGCTTGTTTTTTATTGACCATAAAAATTTTATTTTCAAATAAATGCTATTGGAAAAGGCCTTGACACTTAAATCTAACAATTTGTTCTAAGATTTTACAGCCCACGAGAAGAAAAGTTCCTCCTTCTTAAGTCGTTCTGACTAGTCAGCCAGTCTGGAGGACTTGGCCTCACAGGAGCGTCTGTTGCTTCACAGAAGGTTCTAGGAAACAACACGATTGTGACATCATTAGGATTCACTCTCACAATCCAAAGAAATGATCAAGACATATGCGCTGCCAAACATTTCTGATATTTTAAATACTACTTGCCTTCAGCCTGTTAGAGACTGGGAAATCCCCGGGATTGACTGACTTTTGCTAGACGAAAGACGAAAGACAGGTGTTGCTTAGATCTAGTGCACCCTGGGTAGGCTATTTTAAAGAGGAATGTTTATATATTTCAGTGTTCAGTTAAGGGAGGAATAAATTTAGAACTTCAGCCAAACAAAAAACAAAGTTTGAGCTATGTAAGAGTGAGAAATAAACTTTGACCTTGAGAAATAAACTTTGACCTTCAGGAGTTATCATAAAGCTAGTAAATACAGACATTGATTATAACCTGTAGAGTGTAGTGTCTGAAATGTATATCCAGACCTTCATGTATATATGTGTGTGTGAAGAATATATTTATAAGAAGAATATAAATATATATTTAAGAATATATATATATATATATATATATATATATATATATATATGACGGTTACTGTGAATAAAATCTTAGAGGAATCAGGTATAAAAAGATCTGAGCTCTTATCTGATGGCTGAGGAATACATACATAATGGAGCAGATTATGTAGTGAATGTATGACTAACATTATCATATGGATACAAATTCATTTCATCTGGAACACACTTTGGAGGAAATTTTCATGCATAATAATTTCAGCAAACTACCATATTTATCATTCTATTTTATGCTCTTCTCTACTGGAATCTTTTCAACAGAAAATAGCTGGTGTTGAGAAAGATTAAAATCTATTCATTCCTTCTCTTTAATTCTCTTCACACAGATAGCGTTGTTTAAAGCATGCCATCTCAGGAATTCTTCAGGAATATTTAGCTTCTTCCGTGCCCTCTCTGGGAAAAAACATATTTCAAGACATCCATAAAGTCTATAAATAAAATGGAACAGAGCCTTATTACACAGAAATTATGCCCATTAAAGGTGAGAATATCTTTCTAAATTCCATATTTCCTTTTGGTGGTTATTTTGGAATATTTTTCTGTAAGTGAAATTTTACTATTTCAGGCAAATTACACATCTTGATATTCTGGTAAGCATTTATCTCATTGAGGTGAAGAATTACATTATTCAGAACAGCAAAATACAAATGATAGTATTAGTGAATTTTCCTAACAAAGTTTACAATCTATAGGAAGCCATACTTAGAAACAATACCATGGTATGTCCAAATGTGGGCTTTCTTCAAATATGCATTTACTAATGTATTAGCTGTAAATGTCTTGGATTTTAATGACCAGTTGAAAACAAGCAAACATTAATAGAGAAACTTTCTATAATTAAGATTAAAATATCTGCCAGTTTTAACTATAGAAGCCAACATTATAGAATTTTTTATAACGAGTACCCTACATTTCTACTACTCCATGACTTAACTACATGAAATTCTAGAGTCAAAATTTAAGGAGAAATAATATTTAAAAGCTTCCATATAACTTATTTTGAATATGCCTTTTATCTTTTCAGTGTAGGCCACTGAGAACAAGATTTATTCTTAAAAGATGGAAATCAGGCAGGAGAAATGTGCCAAAACCTATTAATACAATGAGTGCATCCAAATGTTAGCCGTGACAGCAAGGCTGGTTCACTCTAAGGTTAGCTAAATAATTATTTCAAGGACTCACTGTCCTTCCTGGGAAAATGGACTGCAATGTCAAAGTTCTCATGATGTGAAGCATTCAAACAGTCATAATGTGGATTAATAACTGTTGATAAAACATGAAATTTTCTTAATGAATTGCAGAATATACATTAAACATTGGTTTCGATTGTACAGCTGTATTTGTACTGAAATCATTATACCACTTATCTCTATTAGGCAGGTGTTTCTTAGCCTACCACAACTGCCAAGTGTAGTTCAATGTGCCTATTGCCATCATGGGAATGTAGCTATAGTTGAGAACCCAAGTGCATAGAGAAATCACTATGAGGTGGAGGCTTATTATGACTTTATGGACAATCATTAAAAATTATCTTGGAGGAGTGAGATTTGAGTCCCTTATGCTTTCCTACAAACCAATTGTTCAGCATAGTTCCCAAAGCACAGTAAAAGTTTTAAAGCTATGTTTTTCATGAATGAATTACAGTGATGCTAAGAGTTGACCAAAGAGTACATTAAGAGGAAGAAGATTTAGAAGCCTTATGTCAGTATTAAAATATGAATATGTGTTAGCTATTACTATTTTTCTGAGTCTCTCTGATGATGATTCAGATCCTGATTTGTATCAAGCCAGGACTGAGAAACTTAGAAGCAGAGTGTGTGTGCATAAGGAAACTTATGCAATGAATTGTTTGGGTCATTTATCGCGAACTGTGCCATACATACAGAATCTCAATTTGCTATTTATTTGATTGCCGCAACTTGTTTGTCTCCCACAGTCACCCACTGATATTATTATTTCCCTTCATTTATCTTGTCCTCTGTAGGTGCTTTCATCCACGTTCAGTCAGTATTGCTTCCTCTTTTGGCTTTCTTTTTTTGTCTGATTTTAGCTGCATAATGTTAACAAATGTGGAAGAATTGAACAATCAGCATATCAATGACCCAAACTAAAGTCACCTCTTCCTTCTAAACATGGCTGCTGTTGAAGTATTCTTAGAATGAGGAAATGCAGGTGGTAGCCTAAAGCCCACACTGCCATCCCTCACTGTTCTGTAATTCTTAGCCACTAGTTTCTTAAATTTTATCAACACTGTTTCTGAATATATTTAAAATTAATAATCATTTCCTCCCTTTTGACATCTTTATTGCATTACTTCTTTATATACTAATTCCCTTGTAAAATGTTTCTGGCTTTGTCACCTCCCACCCTAATGTCATTTCATCCATAATTGAATGTCAAATTTAAGAAACTATATCATCAAAAAAAAGACATGCTATTTCTCATTTCTCAATTCAGAATAATTTCATAAGTCCCTACAAGCCATCAGACTGAATTTAGAATAATAATCAAATCCATTATAATTTAGACTCGGGTCTTTGGTGTCTACCTCTCTTATTATACATTTGTATCTTCCTAATGGATTATCACTGTATATTACATGTGCCACACTTGCTAATACTTCTGTTTTTGTTAGTTTGTTGTCTTGGTAAGTCCTCGCCTTCCATTCCAGAGATTCTAGTAACCTTCAGAGGCTGAGATCAGATGCAAGGTTCATGTATTGTTTTACCATATAGAATTCTTTTCTACTACCTGTATTCATTGGTCTCGATTAACTTTACTACATTACTTAACTAATCCTAGATGGTGAAAATATACCTTTGATGAATCAGGAAAACAATAACCAAGTGCATTTTATGTGTTTTTCAATGAACATAACTTCACAGGCAAAAATGAAATTGGTGAGTATGTCAATAATAAAATTAAAGTACAGAGAAGCTGCTAAAGGTGAAAGTTTTTTGTCATGATTTTGACCCTCACTTGGATGTTTAAGACTGCACTTATCAATTTAAATGAAAGCAACATAGTCTTTCAGGTTATTTTGATTGATTGATTTCTGCCCCTTTGCCCTTTTTATTCTGTTGGGTCAACTACCATAGGTTCATATTTTCTGTATTTCTACCAGCAAAGCCTCTGTCTGTGTTTCTGCTTCAAGTGGAATATTCAGTAGCAAAGGTTAACACCATGCTTTAAGGGTATTCTTATAAAATTAGGATAATATCATAATATTAATTGAACTTCTATGCTCTATCAACATCATGCTGTGCTTTTATTTTATTTTTTGTTGTTGTTGTTTTTCTTTTATTTATTTGTTTATTAAAAATTTCCACCTTTTCCCCTCCTCCCATTTCCCTCCCACTCCCCCCACTCTCCCTCCCTCTCCCTCTCTAGTCTTAAGAGCAGTCAGGGTTCCCTGCCCCGTGGGAAGTCCAAGGTTCTCCCCCCTCCATACAGGTCTATAAAGGTGAGCATCCAAACAAACCAGGCTCCCACAAAGTCAGTCCATGCAATAGAATAAAAACCCAGTGCCATTGTCCTTGGCTTCTCAGACAGCCTTCATTGCCAGCCACGTTCAGAGTGTCCATTTTGATCACATGCTCCATGACTCCCAGTCCAGCTGGCCTTGGTGAGCTCCCATTAGATCAGTCCCACCGTCTCAGTGGGTGGACGCACCCCTCATGATCCTGACTTCCTTGCTCATATTCTCCCTCCTTCTGCTCCTCATTTGGACCTTGGGAGCTAAGTCCAGTGCTCCAATGTGGGTCTCTGTCTCTATCTCCATCCATCACCAGATGAAGGTTCCATGGTGATATGCAAGATATTCATCAGTGTGCCTATGGTACAAGGCCAGTTCAGGCACCCTCTCTTCTGCTGCCCAAGGAACAATCTGGGGACCTCTTCTTGGACCTGGAACCCCTCTAGAATAAAATCTTTTGCAAATCCTAAAATGGCTCCCTTAATTAAGATATCTACTTCCCTGCTCCCATATCCACCCTTCCTCCATCCCATCCATCCCATTCCCCCAAGCTTTCCCGAATCCTCCCTTTCTTCCTTCTCTCTACCCATCTCCCCTTACATCCACCCCCCACCACCCCGTGCACCCAAGTTTTACCTGGCAATCTTGTCTACTTCCAAAATCCAGAAGGATAACTATATGATTTTCTTTAGGTTTACCTTCTTATTTAGCTTCTCTAGGATCACGAATTAAAGGCTCAAAGACCTTTAATTATGGCTAGAATCCACTTATGAGTGAGTACATACCATATTCCTCTTTTTGGGTCTGGGTTACCTCACTCAGTATAGCGTTTTCTATTTCCATACATTTGCATGCAAAATTCAAGATGTCATTGTTTTTTACCGCTGAGTAAAACTCTAATTGTCTGCAAAAATCAAGTGTAATATTTCACATATCATTAAGGGGTTTTACATTAATACTACAGCTTTAATCCCTCTGCAAAGAATGTCAAAATGAACATGAAAGGCAATACTAGTTGTCTGAGAGTGGTCAAGAGAAATTCTCAAAGAGAAGTGATAAAGAAACTGTTCAAAAGAATCTATAAAGCCTATACACACGTGTGTGTGTGTGTGTGTGTACTTTAATTCAGCAGGTCAATTCCTTCTTAAAGATCCACAGGAAAACACAGAAAAAAAATGGACAAGGAGTCAATTGAGTCACAGCCAAACCGCATAGTACCTTTATCAGAATGGATGAATCACATTATCACGTCACGGATCAGAAAGAATGAAAAAATTACAAGTTTGTTCAGCAGTAGAGGCTTTTATAAGAGATGTAACCTGCAGAATAATATACGCTTACTTCCACTTATATAGAATTGAATAAAAAGTAAGTGCAATGCAGAGTTTTAGAAGTAGAGAAATGACCACTGTTCCCCTGAGAAGTAGAATGATGCCTTCATTGATTTAGATCTTAGGTGCGTGGGTGTGTTCAGCCTGTTGGAGCCCATCAAGCTGCACACTTAGAGTTTTCACACTTACAGTTATACTTATGTGTCTTTATTAAAGCTACTGATAATCTTCAGGAAGTCTATGCATCCCTTTTTGTGATTAATGGATATTATTGCCATGTAAGTGTAATGTAGGACTTTAGCCGCCTGAGCCATCGTTGTTGGTCCCCACAGTTTTCTTACCATCATCCTCATAATACTAAGGCTAAAACAACTTCTTTTCTCTCAGAAAACTCCATTTAGGAATCAAATCCTCAATGTTCACACACAGCTTAAATACCAATTTCAAATGTACAAGTCCCCACATAGGTTTTTTTTTTTTTTTTTGAATCCTCTGTGTGCTTCTCCATTTTCTCTTATATTTTTGCCCAAAGGCGGGCAAGTCTTAAAGCAAACATAAATACATAAATATTGTGATAGATCAGGAATAAAATCTCCTAGGATATCCAATTTCTATCTTCCACAAAAGTATACAAACACACACACACACACACACACACAGAGAGAGAGAGAGAGAGAGAGAGAGAGAGAGAGAGAGAGAGAGAGAATGTGTCACTTACTCAACATGCATCTGTCTGATGCTAACCAAGAGCTCATTGCTTGGGCTAGGTTAAACAGTGATAAAGATCTCAGATGTTCCCTGCTTTTACAGGCATTCACCTTCTGAGGGCATTTCGGGCTGAACACTTTCAGAGACAGATCTTAAAATAAGCCTGAAGGCACAGATATTTTGCTAGGGGTGGGCAGAAACGGAGAGAAAGGAAGGAAAGGAAGGAGGCAGGCAGGGAGGGAAGGAGGAAGGGAAAAAGGGAGGGAGGGAGGGAGGGAAGGAAGGAAGGAAGGAAGGAAGGAAGGAAGGAAGGAAGGAAGGAAGAAAGAAAGAAAGAAAGAAAGAAAGAAAGAAAGAAAGAAAGAAAGAAAGAAAGCAAGCATCATTGAAGATTGTACAGAAAGGGAAATTAAAACCCACCACCGCATTTAATCTTTGAAATACTCAAAAAGAGCACCTCAGAGTTGTTCCACTCAAGGGTCCATCAACTTCAGGCCCTCCCTGGTTCTAGATTGCTGGTAGTTGAACTCACTCTGCCCTGCCTCCCTCTACAGACTGAGTGTGAACTTATGGAAGCCTGAGAGAGAGATGCTAGACAGGGAAGCTCAAGCTCCTAGAATGGTGCCTCAGGCCTGAGAGGGAACTAGAGATAGAAGTGACTTCAGAGCTTCACAGTTCTGCTGCAGGGAAACAGACAGGAAGTGAGTTATTAACAAAGTTTG